GCAAATTTTTCTGTCTCTGTATATCCCTTTATCTTCTTTCTTCCCCCCCCCCCCACCCCCCTTTATTTTTCAGGCCACTGAGGAGGTTTCAAAAAATCTGGTTGCCATGAAAGAAATCTTGTATGGGACAAATGAAAAAGAGCCGCAAACAGAAGCGGTGGCACAGCTTGCTCAAGAACTGTACAATAGTGGTCTTCTTAGCACCCTAGTAGCTGATTTACAACTCATTGATTTTGAGGTGAGAAAATAATTATAAAACATCATGTGTCACACCATAAATTGAATTCTTGCTATCTGAGTTCCTGTTACTGTAATAGAACAAAATGTTTATTTTCTGTCTAGTAAGTTTTTTTTTTTTTAAGTTGTGATAGCAGAAGTGCAATTTAAAAATGTAATTAGAAAACATTATCATAAACACCTTGATTATACTGTAGGTATATAAAATTACATCTACGTTAATCTGGAAGAGTCAGTTACTGAAAAATGGAAACTGGGGGAATACTTCAGATCTTTAAGATACAGTTCCATTAGAATTTTGGGATAAATTCACAGATGGATTAAAATCTTAGTATTAATGCTGTAAAGCTCACAATCTTACTTAAAACCCTTTTGAGTAGTACAGTTATAATAGTACTAAGTCACATGACAATCTAGTTATTCATTAGAAGGCTTTAGTTAATACTATAATAAACTTTTGAAAATTATTTAATGCTTCTCTACCATTTAGGAAACAAAAGGCCTATTTTACGTTCTTTCTTAGCCTTTTTCTGTCCAGCATGAAATAAAGAGTTTATTGATCACTCCAAATTGTTTCACATATATAGACTTTTCTATGGCACTCATTGCTGTTGTCTCTGAACACATCCAACAGATACATGAAGTGAATTGTTCAAATAGTCATACATGTGAAAATTATTAATTAGAAAATGACCTTTTCTAGAAAGAAGTTATTAAAAATTTGTACAAAAAGAGTTAAAAAAAAAAAAAAAACTGTCAGGAAAACAGGTCAATCTGGATAAATATGACAAACATTAGGTCTGAAATAGGCCAATAGAAATAAGGAAGTTTGGAGCAAAAACTGAAATACAGTATGAAGCAATTGAGATTGGTATCTACTTGCTGAAGGAGGATATTGAGAAACTTCATCTAGATTGTGCTGACTTTCTAGATTTTTATCAGACTGATGTTTACTCAGGCTGGTTATTACTGAAGAAAGTATTCTTCTGGTGATGAATATTAAGTTGTGTTAGATTAGCTCTATGTTAGAGGAATCTATTCGTTTCATTCCAAGAAGGTGAAGAGGATTGGTAATAGCTTTGTTTTGGACTCCCCCCTGCTCTCATCTCAGGATGTAGCTTTTCTTTGTGATACTGGCAGTCATTCATACTGGACCACAGAAATATCTTCAGCGTATATATATATATATATGGCAGTATGCCAATCTAATGTGCATCTGCACACTGAAACCCCATAATCTGTACTAACTTCCCATCTGTTGTTCAGTACAGCTAAAAGTATTGCTTTAGTGTCTCAAGCTCTATATGGTTTGGACCTGACTGCTTTCAAGTGCCAGCTTCCAGGAAGAAATTTGATAAGCTGCTTTTTCTGATATTTCTTTTAAAAAGCTGGTTTAAAGAGTAGGTTTCTTCTGTTAAATTAGCTACTTCTGGTGGTCTGACAGAACGTGAGGTCATTCTGGGGGAATAAACAGGAGGAACCGGTCTTCCTGCTAAACAAGAATGACTATGACCTCATAAGGATAGCAGAGACCTGGTGGGACTCCACCTATGGCTGGGCCACAAGTATAGATGGCTATACCCTGTACAGGCAAGATCGTGCAGATAAAAGGGGTGGGGGTGTAGCTCTCTGTCAAGGACAGCTGCATGTCCCTCCAAATAGACATTGGCACCCAGGAAGGATGGCTGGAGTCTCTTGGGTTAAAATATGTGGGAAACGTGGCTCGGGACATCATGGTAGGAGTCTACCACAGACCCCTTAACCAGGAACAAAAGCTGAACCAGGAATTCACCAGGGAACTGGCTGAGGCTGCATGCTCTTGGTGCATGGTTGTCATGGGAGACTTTAACTACCTGGACATCTCATGGGAAGAGCACTCGGTCAAATCTGATTGGTTGCAAAGCTTCCTCACATGCGTGGACGAGCACTACCTGACTCAAGAAGTCTATGGGCCGACAAGTGGTAAAGCGTTGTTGGACCTGGTACTGGCCAAAGGGGATGACGTAGTCAGTGACCTAAGAATGGATGGAAAGCTCGGTGATGGTGACCACGAGCTGATCACCTTTACTATCCATTGCAAAGCTGGCAAGTTAGTCAGCAGTACTGAAATCCTCAACTTCAAGAAAGCTGACTTTGACAAACTCATGAGGCTCATTCTCAAGGCCCTAAGGGACCACGACTCAACAGGAAGAGGAGTCCAAGAGGAGTGGTTGCTTCTCAAGGGAGTGATCCTGACAGTACAAGGGATGGCCATCCTATTTCGGAGGAAGGGTAGCAAAAGGGCCCAGCAACCCCCTTGACTCAGCAGCGAACTTGACTCCTCCTTGAACTCCTATGCCTCAAAAGAGAGACTTATAAAGGATGGAAGGCTGGAATTACCACCAAGGAGGAGTACTCAGCACTGGTCCGTACCTGCAGGGAGTGGATCAGGAAAGCCAAGGCTGCAACCGAGCTCCATCTGGCTTCACATATGAAGGATAACAAAAAGTGCTTTTTCAGATATGTAGGAAGTCAGAAAAAAAGCAAGGGTAACATTGGACTCCTGCTGAACCAAATGAGATGGCTAATAACCGACACCCAGGAAAAGGCCAACCTGCTTAATGGGTATTTCGCATCAGTCTTTCATCAGTCCAGTGGGACCACCCTGCCTAGCAAGATGTGATATGGCCAGGGTGAGAGCATATTTATACCCAGCATTGGTGTTGATCTAGTAAAGGATCACCTTGAGAGGCTGGACACCTTCAAGTCAGCTGGTCCTGACAGATTATACCCCTAGGGTACTCAAGGAACTGACAGGTGTCATAACCCAACCATTGGCAAAAATATTCGGAAATTCATGGCGCTCAGGTGAAGTACCTGAAGGCTGGGAGAAGGCCAATGTGGCGCCCATCTTCAAGAAAGGGTGGAAAGTAAATCCCAGGAATTACAGGCCAGTCAGCTTGAACTCAATCCCTGGTAAGATTCTGGAGAAAATTGTCAAGGAGACCCTTTTGGATAAACTGGCCGAGGGCAACATCCTCGGGATAGTCAGCATGGGTTTGTCACGGGTAGGTCTTGCCTGACCAATCTCATCTCCTTCTATGACCAGGTGACATATCACCTGGACAAGGGAGAAGAGATTGATGTCATATGCCTGGACTTTAAAAAAGCCTTTTATCTGGCATCTTATGACCTCCTCCTGGAAAAATTGGCCAACTGTGACCTCGGCTACACCACAGTACAGTGGCTGGGAAATTGGCTCCAAGGTTGGACCCAGAAAGTAGTGGTCAATGGCAGCGCGTCATTATGGTGCTCTGTGACCAGTGGTATTCCCCCAAGGCTCTGTCCTTGGACCAGCTCTTTTTAACATCTTTATCAATGATGTGGGCATTGGTGTCAGAAGTGCACTGGCTAAGTTCACTGATGACACTAAAATTTGGAGCATTGTGTCCACACCTGAGGACAGGCTAGTGATCCAAGCTGACTCGGATAAGCTTAGTAAGTGGGCAGACATGAACCTGATGACATTCAATACCGATAAATGCAAGATACTCCACCTCGGAGGGGGTGGAAACCCACAGCATACTTATAGGCTTGGCAGTGCTATGCTTGCTAGCATCACTGCTGAAAGAGACTTGGGTGTCATGATTGACCCCAAGATGGACATGAGCCACCAATGCGATGTCGCAGCTGGTAAAGCAAACAAAACCCTGGCTTGCATCTATAGATGCTTCTCAAGTAAATCCCAGGATGTCATCCTCCTGCTGAACTTGGCCTTTGTGAGGCCACAGCTGGACTACTGCATCCAATTCTGGGCTTCGCAGTTCAAGAAGGATGTTGAGAAGCTTGAGGGAGTCCAGAGAAGAGCCATGCGCATGATCAGAGGGCAAGAGAATAGGCCTTATGAAGAGAGGCTGAGAGCCATGGGACTCTTCAGTCTGGAAAAGCACAGGCTCAGGGGATCTGGTAGCTGCCTATAAATACCCAAGGGGTGTTTATCAGGATCTGGGGGAACATCTGTTCACCAGAGCACCCCAAGGAAAAACAAGGACCAACGGTCATAAACTCCTGCAAGACTGTTTTAGGCTGGACATAAGAAAAAAATTCTTTACTGTCTGAGCCTCCAGGACCTGGAATAGACTCCCTCCAGATGTGGTGCAGGTACCTATTCTGGACTCATTCAAGAAACACTTGGATGTTTATCTTGCTGGGGTGCTTTGACCCTAGCTGACTTCCTGCCTCTGGGGATTTGATGATCTTCAAGGTCCCCTCCATCCCTATCATCTATGAAATGTATGAAATTTGTACCTTAAACAAGGCATGCATACCTTGGATTGGGCCAGGCATTTATTTGACTGAATAATGTCAGTGGGGGGATTTACCTGTATTTGGTGGCAAGGGAGTTTTTCCTCTGACTTGCACCATCTTTCTCTAACGTATTTTCAATTAGATAGCATGATGGTGAGCTTCCAGAACAATATAAAAAATGCTTTTAGGTCTTAGCTAAGAAGTTGTCTCTAAACAGCCAATCTTTACAGCGAATTAAAATTGTTTAGAATATTATACATCGAGGCATTTTTCATGTAAGGCAAACTGTATAAAATTATTCTGAGATTAGAAACTTGTTAGTCAGTTCCTGGCTGCCTTGCAGTAAATAGAAAAGACTTGCTATTTGAAATATTTTTTCTTTAAAACTCGTTTTGCATTGTCCAACAGTTTGGACAATGCTGGCACAGTTTTTTTACCTTTTTACCTCTTAGAATCATGACTGCTCACGTGAGGTTCATTGTGTTAGCTCTTGTTTAGACTGTGACATTATTTGGAAGAAGTAGATATTTCTGACAATAACTAGATTTAATATTGCTCTGTACCACTACCAGCTGAATTATATGAAAGATGAAAGCGATTGTAAATCCAGAGAGAATCATGGGATTGGAGCAAAATTGTCAATATTAGTGGATGAGACGTGATATTAAAGTTGTGTGGCATTTGAACAAAGCAAATTCTGGAAACACTGCTCTGCTCGTTACCAGAACAAAGCTTTCTGATGCTGCTTTGGCCTGGCTTTCAATAGAATTGTGATTCAGACAACAAACCTTTACAAACCAGCTAACATTTATAGCCTGATAGTAATATGATAGCAAATGGTCCAAACTAAGTAACAGACAAACATGATGTTTTTGCCTGCAATCAAAGGGCTGTCATGTTGGGCATCTGCTACAGGCTGCCAAACCAGGAAGAGGAGGTGGACAAAGCCTTCCTTAAACAAGTGATGGAAGCTTCCAAATCACAAGACCTGCTTTTCATGGGGAACCTCAGTTATCAGGACCTCTGCTGGGCAGAAAATATAGCATTGTACAAGAAATCCACCAAATGCTTGCAGTGTTTGGGGGGTAACTTTTTGATACAGATGGTAGAGAGGCCAACCTGGGGGCTGGGGGGGGGGTGGGGCGTGGATCTTATAGTTTCTAGGGTCGGAAGGGACCTGAGCAGATCATCTAGTCCGACCCCCTGCCATGGCAGGAAGAGCACTGGGGTCAAATGACCCCAGTAAGGTGGTCGTCCAACCTCCTCTTAAAATCCCCCAGGGTGGGAGCCTGCACCACCTCATATGGAAGCTGGTTCCAGACCCTAGCCGCCCTGACCGTGAAGTAGCGCCTCCTGATGTCCAGCTTAAACCTTCACTCCGCCAGCTTGTGACCATTGTTCCTGGTCACTCCTTGCGGCGCTCGGGGGAACAGGGACTCCCCCAGCGCCTGCTGATCCCCCCTAACCAGTTTATAACAGGCCACAAGATCCCCCCCTCAGCCTTCTCTTTTGAAGGCTGAACAGGTTCAGTCATCTTCTTGACTTGCTGCTCACAAACAGGGAGGAATTAATTGGGAATGTGAAGGTGGAAGGTAACTTGGGTGACAGTTATCATGAAATGATACAGTTCAAGAAAAGGTCAAGCAGCAGAATAAAGAGACTGGACTTTAGAAAAGCAGACTTTAACAAACCCAGGGACTTAGTGGGCAGGATCCCCTTGGGGCAAGTCTGAAGGGAGGAGTCCAGGAGAGCTGGATATGCTTTTTGCAGGCCCTCTTAAGGGTGCCAGAGTAAACTATACTGATGCAACAGAGGAGTGGGAAGTGCAGCAAGAGGCTAGTCTGGCTAGACAGCAATCTCTTCAATGAGTTGAAACTCAAAAAAGGAATCCTACAAAAAGTAGAAATGTAGTCATAGTATTAGAGAAGAATATAAAAGTATTGCACAGGCATGCAGGCATAAAATTAGGAAGGCCAAGGCACAATTTTTAATGCAACAGGCAAGGGACATGAAAGGCAAAAAACAGGATCCAAAAATATATCAAAAATCAGAGGAAGCCCAGGGAAACCATAGGTCCCTTAAGGAATGTGGAAGGCAATCTAGTTACAAATAATGGACAGAAGGAGGAAGTCTTTAATGCCTTTTTTTACTTCAGTCTTCACAAATAGGGGCAGCTACCAGATGACAAGTGCAGTTGGTATCAAAGATGGGGAAGGAGGCAAGCAGCCTAGAAGAACAGGTTAGGGATTACTTGGAGAAGCTTTCAAGTCAACAGGGCCAGATGGAGATCCATTCTAGGTTCCTGAAGGAAATGGTTGAGGTAATTGCAGAGACATTAGCTATCCTCCTTGAAAATGTATGGAGGTCGGGTGAGGTCCTGAATAATTGAAAAAGGGCAAGTATAGTGCCCATATTTAAGAAAAGGAATATCCATTCTTGGAAGTTTTCAAGAGCAGTTGGACAGACACTTGGCTGGAATGGTTTAGTCAGGGTTGATCCTTCCTTGAGTAGGAGGCTGGACTACATGATCTTGTGAGAACCCTTCCAGTCCTATTTGTCTGGGTTTTCTAAACAGTTGTTTGCTACTTACTTAACATTCTTTGCATGGTATCTGAATGCCATTATTTAATGAAAATAAATCTAAAATACTTTTGAACGGCTCATTTTCATAATCTCTATTTGTCATATTTTAGGCACTACATAAAATAATTAATGACAATAGACATTGGATCTTAGGATCTTGGAAAGTAGGACTAGAAGGGACCTCATGAGGTCATCTAGTCCAGCCCCCTGCTCAAGGCAGAATTTTCCCTGACTAAACTGTCCCATCTCAGTGTCTCTAACCTACTCCTGAACATTTCCAGAAATGGCAGGTCCATGTCTCTAGGGAGCCCATATCAGTGTTTGACCACAATCATAGTCAGAAGATAATTTTTTTTTACTTACTAATCTTTCCTCTGGAACAGCGTTTCTCAACCAGTGGGTCACAACCTAAAGTGGATTGTGAAAACGTAACAAGGACATGAACAAACTTTAAAAATACTTGGGGCTGGGGGGGAGCAGGAGGAGGCCAGCAGGGGGTGCCACATGTGTGTGTGCCTACACAAACATGCACATGGCAGCTAGGCAGTGGTGGAGAACAGCTCCCTGCAGGTAAGCTTGGGGGGTGGATCATAGGCCATGTGTTGGGGGGCACATGCTGCCTCTTCTCCCCCCCCCCCACCAGATTTATGCAGCCACAGCAGGCTTGGGGGTGCAGCCTGACCAGACCAGCTTGGACAGGAGCTGCCTCTGTGGCCCAGCAGGTGGGACCCGGCATGGGAGGGCGCAGCAGGGCAGCGAGATTTCTTGCTGCCACCATTGCTGGGACCCTCATGCCAGCTGTGCCACTAGCAGCGTGAGGAGTAATGGGCGGGGTGGTGTACACTGCCCTCACCACCTCCTGCTGCTAGCCGCTCATGCCGTGCCACAGCTTTACTGCAGTGCCTTGGCCCAGCCACCACTGCCATTCCCCTTAGGCTGCAACTCTATTATGGAAGGGAGGTGTGGTGAGAGGCAGCGTGGACAGCCTGAGGGGATGGAGGCGGCTCCTGCCCAGTCCAGCCAGGCTGCAGCCCCATGCCTACTGTGGGTACAGAAATCGGGGTGTGGGGGGGGTGAGGGTATATGCATACCCCTTACCCCACACACTGGGGGGCTGGGGGAAGTGGGTTGGGAGTGAGGGGCACCAGCAGGGGTTGGGGGCTGAGAGTTGGGAGTGAGGGGCACTGGCAGGACTGGGGTATGCAGGTTGGGAGTGAGGGGGGCTTAAAATCCAAAAAGGCTGAAAATCATTGCTTTAGAAGACCTCCCTAGATACCAACTACCATATTGTTTGATTGTGAGTCAGCTTTCACATAATTTGACCCCAAATTTGATTTCAGGAAAAAAGCTTTTTCCCCAAATATAAGTCCAGAACTACAGATAAAGATCATAAACTGCTCTTGCCCTTACAAAATCCCACAGAAGAATGAGATGGCTAAGGAAGAGACCCAAATAGAAAAACACATTGAAAATACTAAAACTACACTGAGAAGTTGTGATTTAGTATTTTTATTACATGCACAAAAATATCACGTACAAAAGTTGAGATCAGCAATGACCTAATTATAGGTCAACACTGCATGCAAGTAGAGTATGATTTTTTTGGTCCCTTTGGAGGGGAAGAGTGATCAACTGTTAAAAATGGAGCATTATAGTATATATGCAGATAGGAGTTTGCCCTTTGAGCATTATTTACAATTCACAACGACAAGCACACTGCTGGACTTGCTAATTTTACATTCTATATTGACTTTTAATGTGAACTTCACAAGTGAATAGAAGACCATTTTCTGTGGTACTGTGGGTTGGGAATGAGGGGTACTTGCAGGCCCATGTGTCTGTGGGTCAGGAGGGGGGCAGCAGCAGGGATGTGGGGGGTCTGTGGTTTGGGAGTGAGGGGCAATGAAATGAGCAGCAGCATATCATTGCCCCCCACAATCATATACCTCCCCCCTCCCCCCCCTCTTGCGTGACAGGTGTCCCCTACTCTATGCACATTTCCACCAAAGGTCCTCAAATATTTTGATTCACTACACCCATTTCATATTTGCAAAAGCACTCGTGGCACTTCAACCTTAAGCTGGATACCCTACATACAAACCTTTGCTAAAGAAATGAAACCTGGGCCATGCTGGTACACCTCACTCCCAACCTACAGCCCACCTCCTGCTGGCCCTGCTGGTGCCCCTCACTTCTGATGCGCAGCCCCTGCTCCTTCCAGCCCTGAAGTGTCTCCCAGCTGCCCCTCCCCTGTGAGCACAGGCACCAGGCCCGGTGCCGCTGGCTGGGTCATGCAGCCCCCTGCTGCCCCTGGGACTGCTCAGGCACCTCCTGTGCCCTGCTGCAGCCCCAGCACCAGGACAGCTTCCTCCAGCAGAGGAAGGCACCCTCATCCCCTCAGCGCACCCCCACAGCCCCCTGTACAGTCCCTAAGCCCTGGCCGTCCAACCCCGCCCCCCACAGACTTACCTGCATGCAGCTGCCATGGCTGCTCTCTTTCCCCCCCCCCCGACCTGGCTGCATGCCAGCCATGTGCGTGTGTTTGTGCCGTGATGCACATAATGCCCCTGCCTCCAATCACACACCCACAGCCCCAAGCAGCTCCTTGCTAGGGCAAGCCAGGAAAAGCTTTGAAGTTGAGCTGACCAAAATCCCAGACATTTGACCATATTTAAAAAAAAAACAAAACGCTCGGACGGAGATGGGAGGAACCAAAAAGAGGACATGACCGGGAAAACCCAGACATATGGTAACCATAGCATAGAGGCCAACTTAGATGCAAAGCTCACTGTCCACAAAGTGTAAAGACACTAGGTTTCATTAAATATAGTTCTTATGGTATAAACATGTACTAGAAGTAATATGTTCAACTCCTTACATTTTTTGACAGGGTAAAAAAGACGTTGCTCAAATTTTTAACAACATTCTCCGAAGACAAATTGGTACAAGAACTCCCACAGTGGAATACATCTGCACTCAACAGAATATATTGTTCATGCTATTAAAAGGGTATGTATAGTTTTCAGCATTAAAATGTTTTTAATGCAAACCATTGGAGAGTTCTTTTATTCAGGAAAAAGCAGGGTATTGTTGGTAAAATGTTGCTTCCTTCTTTGCTTTGCATTTGTTTGCCACAGAGTCTAACTTATCTCAGAAGTAGAAGGAAAAGGAAAATGTGGGTAACATGATATATTACCATATTGAGTAACATTATATTCCTGAACAAGAAAAGACATTGTAAGAACTGAAATTGGGCTAAGATAATTGTTGTAGGAGTAATGCAGCAATTCAAACGCTCCTTTTGCTGTATTCACCTGACTTACAGTTCAAATTATTATTTGTTACCTTAGTTATGAAGTGTTTATGTTTTTTATTTGTTTTAAACCTCTGGCTAAAATCAACTTGCTGTCCTATCCTCTGGCTTATTCCAATAGCTCTTGCTTCAAAGCGATCCAGGTCTGTAGTTGCACTTCCTCACCAACTTGGACTTGTCCAAACAAAGGGTGATTCAACGCACATGCTGCATGCCATGTGTTTCTTTCTCTCTTTTTGTTGCATCTGCATTATTGTATTGCAGAATCACACTGCATCAGTTATGTAGCATGTCTGGATTTGCATATGTCCAAGTGGAGGGCAGCTTAAAAGAAATTGATATAAAAAATCACCCCCCACACCCACCTCACACACATCCTTCTTCCTACTTGAATTGTAATACTTAGTTTTATTTAAATAAATAAAGAAAATACTAGAAGAATGTACAAGAGGTTACAGTCTCAATATATCACTTTGGGGTAGAGTCAGTGAGCTGATCAGTTGACTAGTCAAATGTCAATTGATCGCATGTTTTTGACTAGTCAGAGATTATAGCAATTTTAGAAGGGGAAAAAACATTTTTTTAGTTTTCTTGACAGAAAATGTTTTTAAAAAATTTTTTTCTTACAATTTTTAATGAAAAATGTGAGTTTTTTCTGTGTATTATTTGGACCTATTGGCAATTTTTTACAATTTTTGACCATTTTTTGACCAGTCAGTTGTCCAAACTTTAGGTAACTGGTTAAATACCCTACCCTACTTTGGGATGAGATTGATCACTCCTATAGAGTATGTATAATATTGTACAAAGTAAACATTTTTTAAACATTGACATTTCAAACATCAGATTGGTAGCAGTAGTTTTAACGTT